GATCCTTCTGCATCTCTATGCACTGTGAACAATCCTCCCAAAATGATGTCCTTTCCTCTCCGATCCTGTACTCCATTGATCCTATTGCCACCATCAGTAGTGAGAACTGATTCAGGAGGAGTGTCATATTGAAACTGTACATGACTACTCTGTACAGACTGAAGAAATAAAATGCAAAAGAACAAGAACATCATAATTATTGCAGCCAGCAATGCTACTGAAACTTGCTATAGTTGTTACAGTCCTGTAGTCCCGGAGTTTTGCCTAACACACCTGCTGTTTATACAAGCGCTGTATGCATCTATTTGTTATTCTAAATGTGTGTCGTTACTAATTTTGTCTTTAATGTTCCGCATGATGTGATGTTATATATGGAGCTACTATAGACATTTTTTACTTAAAACTTCACTTTTGTTCAAGCAAGTATCATGTATTTTTGACTGGCTCATAGTTGCTGAGCTGGACTTTATATAGTATAACAAATGGAATGTTATACATAAGGTCTTCTCCATTTGTTGCCTCAGAAAATAATGAATATAAATGTTTTTTATATAAAAAGGTACACAATTTTTTCACAGAGGAAAAATTGTCTATAGCTAGATTTGCTAGAAAGCCAGTAGGCATCAACAAACATGTCATAAAGCACACAATAACACAATAAAGAAAATGAATCTAGCTACTATTACTACTCCTGGTTATGCACACAGTACACTAGTAACATTGAATTGCTAATTATAATAGAAATAACAATAAACACATACTAATAATAACAATGAAACGCATCAACAATAATAATATAAACATATGGACTGATAACAAGTGCATACTAAGGGTATAATCTTAATGGTGCACTAGTCAATGTTTTCAGTTTACTTACAAGAGTGATGTTTTTTATATAGTGTATCACAGTTCAGTCGGATAGAAAGTTTAATAGGATTGAAAGTTTTGTCCATCATTAATGTAGACATAATTTATATTGGCTTATCATTTATCCTATTGCTGCAAAACTTGATTCAGCAGGGGTGTCATTATTAAAACTGTACATCATTCTGTACAGCATATTGTGGATTTAAATGGACATTAATTATACTAAAGTTTGTTTTTAACACTCGACTTAATTCCCAAACTGCTAGCTAATGTTTCCCAAATTGTGGTATTTTTACCTTTACAGTTTTCTTACTTTTTGTGTAGTCATAATTAGACAACCTATATGTTATTATTGAAACTAAATTCAAGTATAAATTTCACTCACTACAACTGCAGTTTACTAATTGGCGTGCATGTAACAATTAGTATTCAAAAATCCTAAAATTAAAACTACAATATTAAGTGTAGTTTCTCATATGTACACAATAATAATAAATGATATGAACATATATTTATAGAACTGGTTCTGTTCCTTTATAGTGATCATGACTCACAGTACAAATCAATGTGTTAGAAATGTATCAACAGTGATATGTGTTCATGACGTTTTGAAACTATATGATTGTATCAATCACAGGTCATGTGACCATGTGATTCATTATGGACTAGAGATACTTGGAAATTATTGATTGCTCGTTGTAGACATGAAATCAGTATCAGAGGTATATCAGAAAAACATTTCACAATTATTGATACATATTGATGTCCTCATGCTGCATAGAAAGTTAGAGCTAATTTTGACTTAAGTATTTTAAGTAATGAGTATTTTTCAGTACGGCCAATTAAAAAAATACCCAAAAAATGGCTCTAAAATCATCCCCATTGATATTACATTTTCTGATCAATATTAATGTCCTTATTGTGTGTAGCACACCTTATGGTATGCTATATTTTCCTCAAGACTGTCCCAAATGCAATAATTCCCGTAATCTACTCTCATCAGTGCTAAAATGGCCAAATTTGAAAAATACCAAAGGCTATAGCCAATAGTTTTTTTCAAAAAATGACTCCTAATTCACCTTCAATTTTTATCACATTTTCTAATACATATTGATGTATTTTTGCCGTGTAGAAAGTTTTAGGTAATTCTGACTTAAATTTTAAAAGTTAATTTTTTTAAATGACCAATTACCCAAGGCAGCCCATGGTTTTTTTTTTCAAAAAATGGCTCCAAAATCATCCCAAATTTTTATTACATTTTCCAATACATATTGATGTATTTATGCTGTATAGAAAGTTTGGGTTGATTTCAACTTCAATTTTTCAAGTTGTGGTCATTTTTTAAATGGTCAAGTTTTAAAAATACACTGTATAGCCCATGCTTTATTTCCAAAAAATGTTTCAGAAACATCTCGACTGTATTTTTGATGCTAAATGTACTTATTATTATTATTGGTTTTATTCTTTAGATTCATGTTATATTTATGTGACTGGGATAATAGACAGACCACTGACCTGGTTGAACTTGTACTAACTACTAAGGACTAAGGAGTAGTAAACTGGAGAAAAATCTACCTCACAGCTGTAAGTCATAACTATTAATTAGTGATGGTTATAATTAGTTATTACTAAAAGCATCAAATGCAGTACACATAAAATAGATTGAAAACAAATAAGAAAGTCATTCCATTCATGGCAATGAAAACTAAAGTCATTAATTACTGGCATTACGTTACGTGTACTATTCTTAGTCTTGGTTTGATAGGAAGTCACAAACTGTTCTCACTTCTTTCCCTGAGATACGATACTGAGCTCTTGCTTGTATCTCTGTGCCACTGAAATCCATGAATACATCTACACCTCTCTCTTCGGTTGGTACATTATCAGGATTAGGAAGATCAAGTAATAGCTCACCAATCTTACATACTGTACGTTTACCTTCTTTATCTACTATATACTGAACTCCATCGTCTGCTGTACAGTATATAGGAACGTTTAAGCTTGTCTGGCTTTGATACAAAGGTAAGATTGCACTTTTATATACTTCATCTCTTAGTACTTCTCCCTTGAGTACAAACACGTCAAAGAGTTTACCACAATATTGTACATCCTCTTCTGCATGCAGGAACTTGTAATGTTCATCATGCATTGATGGGTTAAATACAACATTAAGACCTGTCCCATAGGTAGCATCAGCAACACGTGATTGGATTATGTTAGGATCTTTCCTCCACATTACTGCTCCTGTTACAACAGCAAGATCTGGTTGTACAGGACACACTATATTATCATAAAGCTTGCCACGATGCTGAGCGATAGCTTCTTCTATCTTTTGGCTAACAAACTTACACCCTCCAAACCCTCCTACCAGATAAACTGTATTGATTCCATTAGGCTTAATCTCATCAAATGCTGCTGCCACACACTCTATGATCTTATCTATTGTGAATTGGAATACCCTTTTTTCTATGAGATCATATCCTATGCTTAATGAACCTTTTCCTGGATTGTAACACATGTTGTGTTTCATCGCTTTAAGTATTTCATTACTTTCATAATGATTTATAAAAGGTCTTGGTAATTTAAGTACCATTTCTTCAAAATCTGATGTTGCATCTCCGAATATTTTTTTCTGTTTCTCAAAGTCTTCATAAATCAGTTTATTGATAACAGCTTTGTTACCAACATCTGATTTGATGAAAGCCTCAAAACCTTTATCTTCTACTGCTTCTTGCAGTAATTCTGATAAGGCTTCATTGACAGTTGTTCCTCCCCAGTTGTTGCCCATTGGTGGTAGTACTACACTAATTCTCCCATTACTCTTATCATGTACAGTAATATCAACTGTACCTCCTCCTATATCAACTACCATATATCTCTGTGGAGGAAGGCCTTTAACTTCTGACTGATGCTGTGCATATATAGCAGCTACTTCTGGTTCTAGAGCTAATGATAGCTTCTCAGGATTAACCTCCTCTGGACGTGGTAAAGGAGAACCAACTGGAGTGAACCTTATTATACCAGGAGCATCAGAAGTGAGACCAGCCTATCATATTAACATAATGAAATACAAAGCATGTATTAGGTTACCATATAAGCAGCTTCTCTCATCATTCTTCTTGCTCTTGCTTTCCATATAGCAGGAACAGTAATGACCCAATCAAAATCACTTGACTTGTAGTCTCCTTTGAGATGATCAGTCAGTAGCTTCTCCTTGAGGTGTGTTAGTATAAAAGCTATAACTTCAATGAGATAATAAGATCCTCCAGTGAATGAAGAGACTTCAGTAGTACGATCTAATGACTGATTAATATAAGTGTTAATAGTAAATTGGTAGACAATTGTAATATGAACTTACTTTATCTCTCTCAAGCAAATTCTTTATTCGTTCAAAATATATGAACTTCTCATTTTTTTTCCTCCTACCACTGTATAAACTTTGTGCTCTATGTCCAATTCCAGTTGTTTCATTCTGCTCCCCTTCATTCTTTGTGATCAGTATAGCATTAGGTACTCTTTCATAAGTGCTGTGAAGTGGTAGGATTTTAATTTTCCTTTCATTTGGCGTAATATATCCTATTGACACTGATGAGGTTCCAAAGTCAATAGCTGCTATACATCTGCTCCTTTTCAGCCTATCGGATCTTTTTGGTACCTTTTGAGCTCTTAATAGTGGTTCCTTGGATAAAGCCCCTATCAGAATAAGGAGCTGACACAAGTAGAGTTTTGTACACCTCTGCATGCAGACTAGTACACCTCAGCAGAAGTCTTGATTAATATATAGATACTGCTATCACATGACTAAACTCTGAAAAGATGATGTCATCATTGTGATAGCTATAGCACAAATAGTCTAGTTTAATTTTGTGAACCTATAAGTTGTATTGAGATCTATTGCCCTATATAATTTATATTACATTATATGACTAGCTAGATCAAGATCTACAAATTCTTAATAAAAGTTTAAAGTACTCAACATAATATAACTATTAAAACTTTATTTATTATTAGTCTTGTTTTGTTAGAAAGTCACAAACTGTTTTCACTTCTTTTCCAGTGATACGATACCGAGCTCTTGCTTGTATCTCTGTGCCACTAAAATCCATAAATACGTCAAATCCTCTCTTGTTTCTTGGTAGATTATCAGGATTAGGAATATCTAGTACCAGTTCACCAATCTTACGTACCATTAATTTACCTTTTTTATTTTTTGTATACTGAACACCATCAGCTGCTGTACAATAAATAGTAATACATTGTTGCGTTATTTTTTGACTGAAACCCAGTATAAGTCCAGCTTTATATACTTCATCCTTTACTACTTCTCCTTTGAGTACAAATACCTTAAGAACATCTCTACAATATTCCACACCATTTTTTTTCAGGAACTTGTAATGTTCATCGTGAATGGATGGGTTAAATACATCACTAATAGCTGTCCCATAGGTAGCATCAGCAACACGTGATTGGATTATGCTAGGATCTTTCCTCCACATTACTGCTCCTCTTACAACAGCAAGATCTGGTTCTACAGGACACACTATATTATCATAAAGCTTGCCACGATGCTGAGCAATAGCTTCTTGTATCTTTTGGCTAACAAACTTACACCCTCCAAACCCTCCTACTAGATAAACTGTATCGATTCTATCATGCTTAAGCTCATCAAATGCTGCTCTCACACACTCTATGATCTTATCTATTGTAGGTTTGAATACCTTCTTTTCTAATTGGTCATATTTCATTTCTAATGCACCTTCTCCATGATCATAGTGTACCTTCTCCTGCTTCATTCCATCACCAATTACATTGCCTCCATAATTTCTTATGAATGGTCTTGGTAATTCTAGTACCATATTATCAATGTCTGGTGTTACATCTCCGAATATTTTTTTCTGTTCCTCAAAGTCTTCAAAGACCAGCTTATTTATTTCAGCTTTATTACTAGCATCTGATTTTATGAAAGACTCAAAACCTTTGTCATCTACTGCTTTTTGTAGTAATTCTGATAAAGCTTCATTGACAGTTGTTCCTCCCCAGGTGTTACCAGTTGATGGTAGTACTACACTAATTCCCCCATTACTCTTATCATGTACAGTAATATCAACTGTACCTCCTCCTATATCAACTACCATATATCTTTGTGGAGGTGTTCCTGATACTTCTGAATAACGTTGTGCAGCTATAGCAGCTACTTCTGGTTCTAGAGCTAATGATAGCTTCTCAGGATTAACCTCCTCTGGACGTGGTAAAGGAGAACCAACTGGAGTGAACTTTGTTATACCAGGAGCATCAGAAGTGAGACCAGCCTATCATATTAACATAATGAAATACAAAGCATGTATTAGGTTACCATATAAGCAGCTTCTCTCATCATTCTTCTTGCTCTTGCTTTCCATATAGCAGGAACAGTAATGACCCAATCAAAATCACTTGACTTGTAGTCTCCTTTGAGATGATCAGTCAGCAGCATCTTCTTGAGGTGTGTTAGTATAAAAGCTATAACTTCAATAAGATAATAAGACCCTCCAGTAAATGAAGAGTCTTCAGTAGTACGATCTAATGACTGAGGGGTGTTGATAATTAATATTTTTTACTATAAACTTACTTGATCTCTGCCCAATAATTTTTTTATTCGTTCAAAATATATATACTTTTCAGCATTATTTGCTACATTGCTGTACATTGTTTGTGCTTTGTATCCAATCCCAGTGACTGTGTATTGTTGTTGTTCCTCATTCTGATCATCCTGTTTCTGTCCCTCATCCTTGCCCTGGTTCTTTGCAATCAATATAGAATTAGGAACTCTTTCATAAGTATTGTGAAGTGGTACTAGTCTGATCTGATCATCAGTTGGGGTGGTGTATGCTACTGATAGTGATGATGTTCCAAAGTCAATAGCTGCTATACATTTGCTTCTTTTCAGGCTATCAGGTCCTCTTGGTATCTTCTCAGCTCTTGTTAGTGGTTCCTTGGATGAAGCCATGATCAGTATAAAGACTGTAAATTTGTAGCTATTCTTCTACATGTACTCTACTATCATGTGACTTGTAATATGAGAAAGCATATGCTTAAAAACTGTAGTCTCGCCCATCAGAGCTGTTATCATTAATTGTTATGATAATACAATCCTATACATGCATTTTATTCTCATGATGTCACTGCAGGCTCTCTTATGTTTTTCTCTTCATAACAGTGTAATCCATTATTAGATTATTATTGCCATGAAATAATGGCTCATATATTCTAACAACATTAGCAAAGAAAAGCAAACCATTGATAGTGCCAACAGCAACTGTTAGATTCAGAACTATGAGTAAAATAACAAGAGCTACACCAGCCAAAAAATGGGATGATAAGAGCAATATAATCATTAGTACATTCTTGATTTCAGGAGGAGTGTCATTATTAAAACTGACATGTACATTACTCTGTACAGCATATTACTATTGTGAATTTGAATGGCCAAAAATTTATATTAGCTACTCATTAGTGTGTTTTTAACACTCAACTTAATTCCCAAACTGCTTGCTAATATTTCCCAAAGTGTGCATTTTTTATTTTTACAGTTTTCGTGCTTATTGTGTTGTTATAATTAGACTACCTGTATGTTATCATTGAGACTAAATTTGAGTATAAATTGTACTCATTACAACTGAAATTTACTAATTGGCATGCATGTAACAATAAATAAACAGTGCACAAATCCTAAAATTAAAACTGCATTAACGTTAAATGTAGCATGTTAATGATAATATTATAAACATCTTTATACAACTGGTTCTATTCTATAGTCATCATGGCTTACAGTACAGATCAATGTGTTAGGAGTGTACTAACATCTTGATATTTTGAGCCTGATTGTATCAATCACAGGTCATGTGACAGAGGAGTGTGACCATGTGCTTCACTATGGACTGGAGATACTAGTAGACTATTGATTACTCATTGTACAGACTGAATCAGCAAAAAGATACCCTTGTAAAAATTCCCAGCAAGATCTTGTTAATTTTCTTACAAGATCATGACAAGAATCTTGACAATAATTCGCAAGATCTTTCCTGAATTTGGAACAAGGATCATGTAAGATAGTGGAAGATCTTGCTATCAAGATTCCTTAAAGTTCTTGCAAGATCAAATGCAAGATCTTTTCAAGATTCTTACTAAGTCTTAACAGGATCTTTCCTGAATTTGGAACAAGGATCATGTAAGATAGTGGAAGATCTTGTTATCAAGATTCCTTCAAATTCTTGCGTGGTATTTTAGCATACAATGCTCTTTAAAAATTAATGCAACAGTAAGATCTACGCAAGATCTTACATTGCATGAATGCATAATACATGTGTAAAATGTTGTGAAATGTGAATGTGAACGTCATTGATTTTTTTGATTGAAGTGATTAAAACTTCAGTTTCTTTATATGCTGCCATTACTGTTAAGGCTATCGTGGG